GGCTTGAGGTTCTGATAATGCACATGATGCTGCCCTCTAGTGATGGACCAGAGGTTTTCACCCTGAAAACAAACCAGTTGCCATTGAATGGGTTCTGACTCCTGGCGACCCCACATGTGTCAGAGTAGATCTGTGCTCTGTAGGGTTTTCAGTGGCTGGTCCTTTGGACGCAGGTCACCAGGACTTTCTTCCAAGGTGCTCCTGGTTGGATTGGAATCTCTAACTTTCCCATTAGCAGCTGAGTATGTTAACCATTGACACCACTCTAGGACTCCTCCTTTCATTCTGAAGCCGGCAGATTTTCTTTCCAAATAGGATTCTCCTGTTCTCCTTCCTCTGCAGAGATGATGCCTGGCACCCCTAGGCCTGGTGCACACCAAGCCCTGATCCTCCTCAGCAGAGTCGGTGTTACTGTTGTGCTTTTCCCCTTGGTGTGGAGCTTTCTCCAAACCACTCAACAAAACGATTGTGTGAAATTTAAAAGCAAGCCACAGAAAATTCCTAGACAGGTTTATGGGATTCGTGAAAAATGAAATGCTCTTGTAGAAGACCTTATTATTTGTTTATTTTTTAAACTGTAATTTGGGTAAAAGTTTACAGAACAAATTCATTTTTCCATTCAGTGGTTCCTACACATTTTGTTTCATGACATTGACTGCAGTCCCCACAGTGGACCAGCTGTCTTCCCACTTCCTCCCTGTGGTTACCTTTTCCCTGTGTCCTTCTTTCCCATGCATTCCTGCCCTCTGAGCTGTCTCCCTGTGCAAACACTGCCTCCTGTTCTCCCATGATTGATCACCCTAAGGAGTGCACCTCCCTGGTGTAATTGTTCAGCTCGTGGGCCTGAGAAGACCTTTTTGTTTTTTCAGTGACATTTGAAGACAGTTGTGGTTTTGCTTGTCACCTGTCCGGTGGCCATGTTTTCCTCTTCTCTCCCACCTTGCCAGGTGTGCAGTAGTGATTTTGAGTCTCTGTCACTTAGGGAAGAAGCGTCTTCTCTCACGACTATGTGTTTTGGTGTGGCGATTTCAACTACCGCATTGATCTCACGTATGAAGAAGTCTTCTATTTTGTTAAACGCCAAGACTGGAAGAAACTTCTGGAATTTGATCAGCTACAGCTACAGAAATCAAGTGGAAAAGTAAGTTGTGCTTTTAAACTATTTTTT